TTTTAAAAAAAAGTCCTAAGCTTTAAAATTTTCCATTTTGTTCCATTTTGTTCTAATGTTAATGGATAACAGAATTGTATTTTTCCTTTGAACTGGTATATCAAAAAAAATGTACATAAATTAATCTCAATCTCATTTTTCTAAAATAAACACATGGAAGGCTCATTATATTTATATCGTAAATAAACTAATAAAGTTTGAATATTAAAGAGTGTTTGCTTTTTTGCTTCTGATATTCCATATTGAAATCATTTATAAATTGTTATATATTTTGCTTTTGATAACCATAGGAACTGAGCACATCTATTGGCCTAGATTTTTTGTATTTGAAAACCTCAACATAGGCCATTTTTATAATCCAAAAAATTATTTTCATGTACAAGTGTTGATAAGCCCCCCTTCCCCTTCAGATAAAAATTGTAGTGATAATAAGTATCTGATAAAAATATTATCGATGCTTACATACAGTGTATATGTACATGTACTCGTATATTGAAGAAAAATATTTATTGTTATTTACTGAGTTTATTTGGATGATAATTTTGTGACCATATGAATATGGTTTACCACCAAGTCCGGCTTTCGAGTTCTAATATATAATAATTAAAAAAACTCTTTATACACTTCATCATTTTGAAGAGCCGATAGGACTTTACTTAATACAAATACGGGCACTTTCACTTTGATAGGATATAAAGCTATTATTTTCTTTTTGTTGCTTGTGGAACCAAGAAGAATAACAACAAACTGGAGTAGTCCTTGAATGGTGAACGTTGAACTTACAATGGATTCAGAATTTTTTCAATGATATCAATTTTGGTCCATTAAAAATGTCATAAAATTTTCTTCTAGCACTAAGTTATCACAAGAGAAATACGAAAAATTTCCAGGTTTTAGGGTATTTGATCTTTGCTTATATCAAATTCTAAAACTAATTCAAACGGATTTCATTGATAGTTTTGATATGTTTTAAACCAAATCATTCATACAATATTGGTTATAAGTCGTAAAACTCATATCAGAAATGCAAACTTTTATTACAGGGGCCCTTTTTACAAAAGGACTTACGACTTATCTTCATATTATGGAATGCCATATACGACAGCCAACTGCTTACTGCCAACTGCTGACTGCTTACTGCCAACTGCCACACATATTTGAATAAATTTAATTTTTATATCGATATTTATGTGAATTTTCAAAAAAAAAAAAAAAAAAAAAAAAACAAACAAACAAACAAACAAGGCGCGGATCTAGGACATTTTTTTTTCAAGAGGGTCACTCTGGTAAAAAAAAATCCAACCCAGAAAATTCTTGACAAGAAAAAAACGTAAAGTCCTTCCCTAAATGTGAAAATTTATTTCGGTCGAGGAGAGGGGTTTTCTTATGCGTCATACCTTCATGTTTATGACATTTTTTATTCCAACTTAACATGAATCCGCGTTTTCGGGGAAGAGGGGGGTGGGGAGGTCTAAGGTTCTTAGTTGATTTTTTAATACATTAAATAACTTTTAGTTGGTTTAGTTTATGCATTAATTAACTTTACAAATTTCAGAGGGGTGATCCGGACCCCTCTCTCTAGACTCTAGATCTATGCATGTAAAACATATCTTATTCGTAAAAGAGATATAAATGTTTGATCGGCGTTTTCTTGGAGGGTCCAAGGTCAGTTTTAGTTTGTTTAGTTCATACATTAACCCGTGACTGTACAAATTTTAAATCCCCCCCCCCCTCAAAAACATTCTATGCATGTGAAACATTATAACACATAAAGATATATACCTTTCATTTCAGGTAATTTTTAACTATAGAAAAAAAAGTTAATTTATTTTCAAAACATCTTTCTCCGCGAAACGAAAAATCTTTATTATTTCTCTCTCTCTCTCTTCAAAGGTTTTGTTGTCTATGGTGGGGGAGGGGGTACTTCTTTAAAGATTAGAAGCAGAACATTGTCATCTTATTACCTATACATGTATTTAAAATTTAAAAAAAAATCAAATAAAAAGATAAACAATGTACTTTATCACTTGCATACATTTTATATAACATAAGATAAAAAATATTGGTCATTTTTAACTTAATTTTATCAGGGTGACCCTCTTGGAAAAAATGTCCTGGATCCGCGCCGGTTTTTTCTTCTTCTTTTTGTGAAAATTTACATAATTATCAATATAAAAATTAAATTTATTCAAGTTTGTGTGGCAGTTGAAGTAAGCAGCTGACAGTTGGCAGTAAGCAGTCAGCAGTTGGCAGCAAGCAGTTGGCTGTCGTATATGGCATTCCATATCATATAGCTTTTTAATTAACATAATATAGACAATTATTTTATACCTTTTAAAAGGAATGTGGTAAGATATTTTTACACAAACAATTTCTCAGATAATTATTAATTTTGAAAAAATTTACAATCATTTTAAGTGTTTGGTCTTAGTCGTAAGTTCTTTTGTAAAACAGGTCCCTGTTCTTGATTTTTGTCGACCACATTACGATACCGTGCTGCACCATGTGAATGATGGACTTCACATTAAATGTGAAGTGTAGAAAAAATATTCTTGAAGTTATTGCATCTATAGTATTTTCGAACATAAATAACTCCAATTCAGAATTGAATAATAATTAATTAATAATTATAAATTATTTATCATAGTGAATTGTGTAATACAATATAAAATTATAATTCATCTCAAATATAAAAAGACTGGAACTTTACACCCAGCCCCTTTGGAATACATATGTATTAGTCATCATTTAGATCAAACATTTTACCTATATACTTTATGTAAAAAAGAATTAAAATCTTAAATTGACAGAAGACACAAACAAACTTTAATACAAAAATTGAAAATAACAACTTGAGTCATGTTTATTAAGTAAAATGAACAAGTTTAACCAAATATATTTTAAAAATAATGCGATTCAAAGTGACAAAAATTTGTAAAGAGATATGAATGGTTGTAGAAAGGTAGAATTTTGAATACCATAGAAAGATAACATTTTTGAAATAATTTAGAAATTATTATTCTCATCATTTATAACTAAAGTAGGTCAACAAATAATTATACCAAAAGTTTACCTGTTAATTTCTTGTTTTGATTTTGTTTCGTATGAAGAAACTGTGCATACCTCTTTTGACAATACTTTTTTGACAAAGAGTAATTGATATTAAGTTTGTATTCTGTTATCATTATACATGTATGTAAAAAGTATTTTTATGAGCAAAGAACTATTGCCCATATTTGTTGGAAACCTTTTGATGCTTATATGAACAATATTTTGTACATTGATTAAAACCTTTGTTTAAATCAATAGAATACAACTTCAAAATACATTTGTGTTTTGTTCTTTTTCAAAGCATTTGGGAAAAAGAACAGGCATTAAATTTGATTATTGTAATTTCTTTATATGCCTGTTTTGTGTTCAATTGCCACAAAGGTAGAGGGATGACGCGTGGTTTGTAGTTATTTGAAATTGTCTTGGCATAATTCTTTCAGTTAATCCTCTTTTCTGAACTTTGGGTCACTTGAAACATACAGAAAAGTACCGCTCTAAACTACATACCAGTCTTAGATTATTGTGTTTTACTGAACAGATATAAGTACTGCTTGCAGTCTGTGTCTGTTTTCTTAGTCGCGCAGTAATCACTTCTTACTTTCATTCATTGTTGTAAAAGCAAAATTAAAGAGAAAGGGCAAAACGAAGAAGTAAATTTTCTTTTCTTTGTTAAAATGTCATCCAGATTACATATTGCTACATATATAAAGTTTTTTTCACTACATTTACTGAACCATTTTCTACTTTGTCGAAATTACAGTTGCCGTCTTCTTTTGATCATACAGTCAATAATGTATTATATACTGACACTCAAAAGAAACGCAACAAGCAGTTATCTACAAATGTTTGATTTTTTTTAAAATAATGATTTTCTAAATTGAAAACAGTAAGGCTAAACTCACTTTTCAGAACATCAGAGATTTGATAAAAATGTAAATTGTTTATATTTTTACTTTACTAAGTAATGTATGACTGTTTAAACATCCCCCTCCCAGCTATTCAAGTAAAACGTGTAAGACTGCCCTAAACATCAATTGCACCTTAATTTCTACGATACAATAGGTTCATCAATATCGAGATCTGAGCGAAGGAATTATTCTTTGCCATTTTTAAATGCCCGTTCTTCAGATGATTAGGTCGAATTTTCTCTAACTTAGAGCAGTGTAGCCACCCTTGGACTTCCGGTTTAAGGACTGTCCTTAATGCATCTGATACGTTAGGCCATGTTGAGGCGTAATGTAGTTAATTTTTGCATCAGCAACTCTCGATCACCTAAACATTGAAATTTTCCAGCTAGAGCAATGGAAATGCGTACTGCTGCCATTTTCAAGAAGCCTTAGCATCGTAACGGGAAAGGAAAGGATATTTTTGGAAATATTGCTGCTTTCCTTGTAATGAACTATCAAAACCCTTAAAACTCCATAATATTGCCAAATATTTTGTAAAACATGCAATTTTTGATTTCTGTTAAGCAGACTCAAACTTGACTTCCGATTATGGTATGAAAATCGTTCAACCGTCAAATTGCTAATGATTACCAAATTGAAAATATCCATCATTTTAAGATACAAAATTTTTACTTTACATAATCATTTCCTCATAAAGTACGGTGTTGCGTTTCTTTTGCGTGTCAGTATATATTACCCGGTGCCTGGGTATTTAGCAGACAAACTAAGTTGTTATACTCAATAACCATTTAGACCCTTGGTTCCTCACATTTCCCATCATTCCCTTTCCCTGTATTTTTCCTGTTTTAATTTCTCATCATGTCTTTGATTTGTTTTATTTTTAATTTCATTTTTCTTAAAAACTGTCTAAAGGAGGAGCACTTTCTCTTTTAAAAAAACTTCTTTTTGGACTTTTTGGGAAGAAGTACTATATGTATGTTTTACAGTATCAAATAGATGAATATCTTTTGGAAGAATTCTTTTCAGGTGTGATGAACGATA